TGGGGAAACTTCGCTGGGAGGGAGCGAGACCGGATGCTCGACGGGATGAAGCCGTGGAAATAGATTGGGGAAATAGCTTGGGGAAACTTCGCTGGGAGGGAGCGAGACCGGATGCTCGACGGGATGAAGCCGTGGAAATCGCTTGGGGAAACTTCGCTGGGAGGGAGCGAGACCGGATGCTGGACGGGATGAAGCCGTGGAAATAATAGCTTGGGGAAACTTCGCTGGGAGGGAGCGAGACCGGATGCTCGACGGGATGAAGCCGTGGAAATATAGAAATTTCGCTGGGAGGGGGCGAGACCGGATGCTGGACGGGATGAAGCCGTGGAAATAGCTTGGGGAAACTTCGCTGGGAGGGAGCGAGACCGGATGCTGGACGGGACAAAACCGTGGAAATAGCTTCGGGAAACTGCGCGGGGAGGGAGCGAGACAGCATGCTGGACGGGACAAAACCGTGGAAAATAGCTTGGGGAAAGTGCGCTGGATGGGAGCGAGACAGCATGCTGGACGGATAGGAAACCTTGAAAATAGTTTGCGGCAGAACTGTTGGCACGGGTTTTTTCAGGACAAATGCCATCATTGCGATTGGCCTGAAAAAATTGTGGACCCAAGACTGGTCAAATGGTCCCAAGACCGGTCAAACGGTTTGCAAAGGCTGAAAAATGGGACATGCACAGAGAAGCTTTTACACAAAAAAAGCCTTTACACAGAAACTTTGACACACAGACGCGTTTACAGAGACACAGAGGAGTCTTGACAAAGAAGCCTTTACGCACAGAAGCTTTTTTGCACAGAGTAGCTTTTACACACAGAAGTCTTTACACAGAGAAGTCTTGAGACAGAGAAGCCTGTACACACAAAGGCTTTTACAGAGAGAAGCCTTTTGTACAAAGAAGTCTTGACACAGAGGAGCTTTTACGAGAGAAGTCCTTACACAAACGAGATTTACACACAGAAGGTGTTACAGATAGACATTCTTTCGGCGCACAGAAACTTTAACACAGAGCAGCTTGTACACACAGAAGCTTTTACACAAAAAAGCCTTTACACAGAGAAGTTTTTCACACAGGAGCTTTTGCACAAGAAAACTGTTACACAGGAAAGCTTTTACACACAGAAACTTTCACACACAGAAGCTTTGTACACCGAGAAGTCTTACACAGAGGAGCTTTTACGCACAGACGCATTTACACAGAGAAGCCTTTACACAGAGAAGCCTTTACGCACAGACGCGTTTACACAGAGAAGTCTTTGCACAGAGGAGCTTTTGCACACAGAATCTTGTACACACAGACGCTTTCACACACACACAGGAGGTTTTACAAACAGACAACTTTACGGCGCACAGATTTTTTACACAGAGCAGCTTTTACGCAGCGAAGCTTGTACACACAGGGGGCTTTTTTACACAGAAGCTTTTACAAAAGGTTTTTTTAATACACAGAAGCTTTTACACACAGAAACCTTTACACACAGAAGCTTTTACACACAGAAACTTTTACACACAGAAGGTTTTACACACAGAAGCTTTTAACACAAAAAAACCTTTAAACAAAGGAGCTTTTACACACAGACGGGTTTACACAGAGAAGTCTTTACACACGGAGGCGTTTACACAGGAAAGAGTTTACACGGAAGCGTTTACACAGAGTAGTTTTTACACAGAGAAATCTTTACACAAAGAAGTCTTGACACAGAGAAGCTTGCACACACAGAGGCTTTTACACACAGAAGCCTTTTACACAGAGCGGCTTTTTCACAGAGGAGCTTTTACACAGAGGAACTTTTACACAGAGAAGCTTGTACACCCAGAGGCTTTGACACAGAGAAGTCTTTTACACAGAGAAGCTTTTGCACACAGAAGCTTTACACAAACAAAACCTTAACACAGAGGAGCTTTTACAGACAGAAGCTGGTACGCAAAGAAACTTTCGCAAACAGAAACTTTTACACACAGAGCGCGTTTTACACAGAAGATTTTACACACAAGAGCTTTTACACCAAAAACCTTTACACAGAGAAGTTCTTGCCCACAGAAGCTTTTACTTGCAGAAGCTTTTATGCAAAGAAGCTTTTGTACAGAGAAGTCTTTACCCATCTTTTATCATGTCTCATTTTTCATGATCATTTGCCATCTGTCACCTTCATATATATCTTCGTTTTCATGCTCTTTTGGTCAGCTCCCTCTGTCGTTTAATTGTCATTTCGTTCTGTCCGTCCACGCTTCGTGCTCGCTCCCTCTGCGGCGAAGCAAACTAAACGAGAACGCAGAAATAGATAGCGACTAGACAGATGGGATAGAGTTAATTACATTAACAGAAATAGCGACTAGAAGACTGTAGGCGTAGCTGACACAGCATGCTGTGGTGAATCGTGGCCCCTGATACCATCAGTGCGCACGATGTTTAAGTAAAGATCTTACGTCGATTTCGTGCAGAGCACAGCTGGCCACACCCCAAGATTTTCAAGAAAAGGCGCGCTGTGTGCCGTCTTGCTTTTGGGTTCTCTGGCCCACCTTGTTTTTGGTCAGATTTAGAAACTTTTTGACAGGTATTCCCAGTGGGTTCATCAATCATACCAGATCATTGTCGTATTCACCTCTTGTTGATACATTTCAATAGGCTGGGTGTGGGTCTCGTATCGTCACCAAATCAATCTCCAAATGGCTATGAGTCAGTTTCACCCTGGTACTTTTCACAAAAGATAGTTATATATGCTATATATGCTATATACTGTGTGTGTTTTTATATGTTTTTCCAATAACAATGATGGGAAACTCATGTTTTTTCCAGCCGCGCGCAAGCGCGCGTTGTTTGACCCCAGGTTTGCACTGCACAGGGCTTCACCGATTCGGATCCGCGGTACGGCTTCGTGACGGGCCGGATCTTCTTTGGTCCCAACCAAAAAGGCACCCAATAAGCGCCGGTCATCGGAAGGGGCTATCGGTGGGTAATTCCCAATGCCATAATTTGCATCATCCCCCAGGAAATCCCAGGAAAATCACCGTAAATATATCGGTGGTATAAACTTACCATTCCCAGTCATGGGTGATTTATGGGTAGTCTGGGTCCAATGGGCTACCAGAGTCAGGATCCCATAGCAATTCTCGGTCGAAAAGGCAAGTTCTTGGCACCTTTCCCTTCCAAACAGCAACATTTTGCAGTAAATTCAGAAGATTCCTATATGATCCTAATAGGAATCCTATAGGTTTTTCAATTCAATAATTCAATCCAGCAATTTTGGACTCATTTCCTATGAATTCTTCAATTCAAACCAGTCTTTCCCTATTTTTGGACCCGGCGCGATGCTGCCTACCGCTGCAGATGGCTTCGTTGACGAAAGCGTCTTGTGGGGCTATCGCCTAAGTTTCATCGACGATTGCGGTGCGGACCTAGCTGAGATTGGGAAGGTGCGGATGCTGCAAGGGTTTTATAAGCAGCAAAAAGATTGCTATTTGAAGCATCAAAAAGAATTGAGCAATTTGAAATTAGCTATGATAGTATCATGATAGGCATGTCGACTTTTCCCCCAATTTATGACATTTATGGGGACTTTCGATGGGTTGCATGGTGATTTTACGGCGATTGAGCCAACAAGAATGGTGTTTTAACCAACTATTTGGAAGGTGCGGGGATTATACGGTTGGAGTGTGGGGCACATAGGAGACATCATGGGACTATTGTATAATTGGATTTCTCTGGGAGATTTTATTGTGATTGAAACAACAAGAATAAAGGGTGATTGAACCAGCAAGAATTGAGATTTAATCGGATTTCTCTGGGAGAATCATTTGGGAATATTAATTTGGTTGATTCTGGATAAATCTAATGGGATCATATGGGGTCAGATCAGGGGACTGCATAAAAATCGATAAATTGTGTCTGTTAGACGCTGTTGATGTGCTCGGCCTCGCAGGTGGGCAAGCGTGACTATCCTCCGGCCATTTGCTGTGATCCTGAGCGATACAGCGGCATAGCTGGCATAGCTGCAGCCACCGGGGATGCCATAGGCCACCATCATGTAGCATCCCAAAATGGCTGGTGAATTGGGGGGGTACCATTTAAGTATTGGATTATGACTATTGGAGGAGTACACCCCTAATTCATAAACCATGGTTTAGTCTCATCCAGGGTTGACATTATAGGAGGTTCCACATGTTCCACATAAATTGACACCCCAATTTCATCCATCTAAAAAAAGAGACCTTTGGTATCCGACCTGGTATCCGAACCGGTCAAAAGTTTGGATCAGAGAATTCCTCTCCGGTCATCATGGCCGTGGTCCCAGCGGCCACGGTCGCCGATCATCCAAGGTTTCGGCTTGGAGGGTGTCCCAGTGCCTGCAGGTGCGAGTCAGGTTGGTTTTTATGAGTTTTTATGGGGGATCCAATGGGGATTTCATGCTGATCTAATGTGGGATTTCATGGGGATCTATTTATATATGATAGGGATACAATGCGGATGATGATCATGTGATGTGATGTACCCTCCGGTGTCATCATTGCCATGGAAAATCAGCCATTTACTTCGATGTTCCCATCAAAACCTCCATGTATACAGCATGTTCAATTGCCATGTTTGACTTCCAGATGGTAAGTTGCTGTTGATTGCAAGAGGCCAAGTGTGGAGTTTTAATATCAACATCTCAAGATTTCAGTTGACTTCAGTGAAGCCAAGAAAGAGTCCATGGATTGAGGTGCTACGGCCATTCAGATCGCCCCATACAAGGCTGGAACTGGGTCTCAGCTACCTGGGAACACTTGGCATGACACTGACCCACCTGACCCACAAAGATGGGCAAATTCAGGGTCTAGGCACGAGGCGCAATGATTCCATTTTTTTATTGGTTTTGAGATGTTTTGAGTGATCTGTTTTCCAGGGGAATTGGCGCTTGTTGGGAGGAGTTGGGGCCTCAGAGACGTCAGTTTCGGCAGAATTTGGGTGACTTGACGACTTGACACAAAGCCATGGCTGAAAAGGTCAATGTTAGTCTCGTGGACTTCTATATCTCCTCTACAACCACAACAAGCCTCACCCAGTCTGTTGCTCAGTGCTTTCTGCTAGTGGTGCTTGAAAAACTATAGTTCATCCTGGATGGTAAAGATGGCAATGGAACATTCCAACTCTTGATGGTAAAATATGGTACACTCATCGAACTAAAAGGATGTAAACCGACTCCACCTTGTTTTCCCCAAATCGGTTTCCGGGAAAATCTACAGGAAACTCCGAGAATTTGGGCTTTGAATCCATGGTTTCCCCTAGATCTTCCCTCAAACCCATTAAAGTTTGGGATGATCTCGAAAACCAAGGACCTACACCACCTCATCCACAAGTTCAACGTCAAACAGTACCACTGAAACCAAAACGTCAACAACTTTGACATCATCCAGTAGCACTTCAAGCTCTACAAGGTGAGATCATGGGATATGATGGGATATGATGGGATATGTTGGGATATGATGGAATGACACTTCCGTTGGTGTTGAAAATTTCAATCCACCGGCAGGAGCAGCAGCGTCACAACGACGTGGTCGTCATACTGGACTCAAACTACCAGCTTCCTCGTGTCTTGGTGGCCATGGCCATCCGGCCCACGGTTTATTCAGGTGTAAGCAGAGTTCGGAAATGTTCGTCGGTCTTTATCGCTCTTTGAGTCCTTTCAATTTTGAAGTTACATCTATTAAAGGCCCTATAGGCAGGTAGAAAATAGATGAACATCAAATATCAGGCGTACGGGTCAGACACCTGGGCTCACATCCCTACATCCCTTTCCCCCCGATCCATACCAAACTGGTCCAGATTTTACCCCAGGATATCGTGCTCGGATCCACAGCACCAGAGTATTCCGCCCGCCAGTTTCGTGCTTGCCGAGTCTACCACCACCACTTCGACGCCCAGAACCAAAACCAGTTCGGCCAGACGGACGGCCGCTGTCGCAATCTCAGCTGCTGGACCAAGACTTGAAGAACAGATAAATAGAATTGAGAATGAAGGAACACGTGGTAAAACTATGGTAAAACACTGAAACCCAGATGTTGTATCATGTTATCTCCACTGTGCTGCTCATATGAGAACCTCTCAGGATTTGCTATTGGCAATTTTCCTCGGACACGCTGGAAGCGTCGTTCTGATGTAATCAACTCCCCAAAGTTGAGGTACCTTGTACAGAAATTATCACTTTGATGCCATAAATTGCCACATACAACTTTAAAATTCATGAGTATTTTTGCAATTTTTCATGATCAACCAGTTGATGCTTGATGATTTGGGAGTTTCCCTTTTGAATTTTTCAGACCAAACGATATGAGGCTCAATATTTTTGCAACCAGGTCCCTCTTATGGGAGAAGCGGATCAATTTTGTTTCCATTTCCGCGTTTCACCACCCGAAATTTCGACCACCGCGCCAAGTGCGGTGTCAAAATCGCAGCTCTGTAGCCCAGTGGTGACACTCCATGACCATAGAAACATCCCTTGGTGATGCTTGGTGCAATCTTTTTGCCGTTGAATGGTGCCGTATAAGGCAACTTGGGACATCAGGGGACATCCTAAAACCACCCTTAAGACGATGTCCTCCTGTCTTTCTTTCTTCTGTTTTTTTTGACCGTTTGTAATTACGCCCTCTCCCAATGTACGTTTCAGCAGTGGGTGTGTTTGATTGGTGGCTTGAAGTCTTGGGGTTTAAGCCGCAAGGTTTCCCAAGGTTTAGACATGATCCCTTCCTGCTATCCCACTAGTGACCTATTTTATTGCTTGTTTTATGGTATTTCATGGTTTGGGAGGTGTGAAGATGATCCAGGTGCCAGGCCATTTTCATGACCACCAAACTACTGCGCAGACTGCAGGAGAAACATCAAGAAGAGATGATTCGTGCGAGTCCCAACGACAAAATCCTGGAAACTCTGCTGATTTCGAGGTCAAATTTGATAAACATGAAACATGTTGAATTCATAGCAAGCAAGTTGATATCCCCTCCTGTGTCATCGTGGCCGTGGCTGGGAAAGCTCCGAACTAAGTGGAGGTTGATATCTGTGAAAATGACATAAAATGGCTTGTAAAATGTGGATAAATATGGGGATTTTCCATTGCCATGTTATATTGCTGGAGGGTAATTGATATAATACGATATAAAATGATATAAATATAATACTATTGATACTGCAAGGCGATGCAAGGCGTATTGTGTGAGAAACAGTTCTCCATGGCCTTCATATTCAGGGAGGCTTTTGGCAGCAGAGGATGAAGAAAGACGAGCTTTACAGGTGCTTCTCCAGTGTGTTTTTGATTCTGATTTGTCAATGACTTGGTTCAAGGGAAAATCTACAGGAAACATCAGCAAACCATGGTTTTTCCCATGAAATATGGAAGGTTCCTGTACATTTTCCCTATTCAACCAGTCCAATGAATGTGGAAGTGTCAATTTCGGGACACTTTCTGTGTTCGCCTTCAGGGCGCAACGCAAGCGCTCTGCTCCAGGAAGAGTTTCTTCAAAGTGAGACAGCCTCTGTTCGCTTGCTCCGGGACTGGCCTTTGGATGATCTGCAGGTTTACCCATGACGGATCCATGATGCTGCTATATATGGTAACATGGATCCCATCAATATACCCCCTTTATGTTAGCATATATACCAGCACCATGGATCCTATGGGTTATGGGATAACCCGACAAAAATGGATGATAATGGATGGTTGATCATCATTTTCCCATACTTTTCCCGGATTTCCCCATACTTTTCCTATCAACATGGCCTTTTTGTTGGTACATCCATCCTTCAACTGCCGCAAGGACGCTGATGCCTTGGAGGCTGAAATGAAAGAGGCGACCAAATCTCAGCATGAGGAAATGAACTACTCGAAGCTCCAGTTAGCTGCCCTTCGTGAGGACACCCCGCGATGGGTAAAAAGGGCTGGCCACCGAACAACATACCCCATGGTGATAATAAAAAACAGCGACACAACCACTTAATCATGTATCGTAAATATGATTTACATACATATTACATATACATATTACATATATATTTACATATATACATTATACATATATAAATCATATATATATATACACATTATACATATATTTATATATATATGCTCAGCCCCCCCCCAACGACCCCCCTCAACCCGCCATCTGCTTCACTATGCTTGACTTGTGTCTGCACAGAACCACGTTGAAGTCACCAACGAGTCGACCCTGCCGCAGCAGCATCACTTTTGCTAAGCTGAGGTCTTATGCTGCTGTGAAAACTGCCTCTACGCACCAATCGCTAATAGGAAAATGTTTGCGCTTGAGACTTTCCTACTAACATTTTTTTTAAATTTTGAAAGACTAGTATATTTTACATTGCATTTGTTTACGGGAATTTCTATCCTCCAATCAGACGATTGGTGCGATCGGATGGTGGAGGAGTCCTGGAGCCACTCTTACACCCAAAACTGCCATAATCTATGGCACCACCTCCGTGAATGGCTGAGTTGAAGCTGGACAGATGCATGAATGACAGACAGGTCAAGGCAGTAGTTTGGATTTGAAACAGTTCAGTTACGGATTGGCAGATGCATGAGTGACAGACAGTGTTTGCATTTAAGAAATATTGGAGAAATTATGAGTTTTCATATTCTTATAATCTTCTGGGGTCACTCCATGAAACAATTTAAAAAAAAACGAAGAAGCAAATGCGATGATCCAGGAAGCAGTTTGGAATTGAAATGGCTGAGTTGAAGCTGGACAGATGCATGAATGACAGACAGGTCAAGGCAGTAGTTTGGATTTGAAACAGTTCAGTTACGGATTGGCAGATGCATGAGTGACAGACAGTGTTTGCATTTAGGAAATATTGGAGAAATTATGAGTTTTCATATTCTTATAATCTTCTGGGGTCACTCCATGAAAAAATTAAAAAAAAACGAAGAAGCAAATGCGATGATCCAGGAAGCAGTTTGGAATTGAAATGGCTGAGTTGAAGCTGGACAGATGCATGAATGACAGACAGGTCAAGGCAGTAGTTTGGATTTGAAACAGTTCAGTTACGGATTGGCAGATGCATGAGTGACAGACAGTGTTTGCATTTAAGAAATATTGGAGAAATTATGAGTTTTCATATTCTTATAATCTTCTGGGGTCACTCCATGAAAAAACCAAAAAAACCTTGAGAAAACCAAAAAAAACAAAAAAAACAATATTTTCAGACTCTTCTGGGGTCACTCCATGAAAAAACCAAAAAAACCTTGAGAAAACCAAAAAAACAAAAAAAACAAAAAAAAACAATATTTAGCGATTCTTTGGGGGGGGGGCCCTCGAGATAGTTTCTAAATATTGTTTTTTTTGTTTTTTTTGTTTTTTTTTGTTTTCTCAAGGTTTTTTTGGTTTTTTCATGGAGTGACCCCAGAAGAGTCTGAAATATTGTTTTTTTTTGTTTTTTTAGTTTGTTTTTGGGTTTTCTCATCAGTTTTTTGGTTTTTTTTCTATGGAGTGCCCCAGAATGAGTCGCTGAAATATTGTTTTTTTTTTTTTCTCTCTCAAGTTTTTTTGGTTTTTGCATGAGTGACCTCCAGAAGAGTCCGGAAAATTGTTTTTTTGGTTTTTTTTTTTTGTTTTCTCAAGGTTTTTTTGTTTTTTTCATGGAGTGACCCCAGAGGAGTCGGAAAATATTTTTTTTTTTTGTTTTCCCGATGTTTTTTTGATTTTGGGTCGGCGGTCAATTGTGTTTCTATAGGGCCTTCCCCAAAGTGCCTTAAAATATTGTATTGTTATGACTATATACGAAGAAGACAAAAATGGAATACTAAAAATACGCATTTTATGCTATAAATAACAATACAAATGACACATTGGGGGGTCGTAGGGGGGGGGTGACCATATATATATATTGTAAGATGTGATCAATTTATTCCAAATGGTAGATCAATAAACAACGCATATTAAACCGGTTATATTATCTAACCAAATATGTTAGAGACACACACACACATACACACACACACTTATCAACCTTTACTATCAACTTACATACCTTCCCATTGCTGACGGAGGAGCTCTTGAGTGCTCATGACCACGTCCGGGGCTGGAGGCCAGGTACTAAGGCATGAGAAGCTTCCCATTTCGTAGTCGTTGATGTTTAAAGGACAATATTAGCAGGTTTCAGCCCAACCCGCAACCCATTCTTGATAGGTTTTTCGTTTTTTAATAAATGTTTTGACCAATGAGGTAGGTTCAACTGGTTGCACTATGTTGCGAACTTTTCACATATTTCATGGAAATACCGGGGTAAAACAGATTACAGATTACTGCTAAATCAGAACATGTGCCATGGTACAACAGCTACGCTGCCTTCATGAAGAAATTGAGGAAGACCAACATGGATCTACAAGATGATTAATTCATTGTTACTCCAATTTGTTCTTTTGCATGTGTCACTCACACCCGCCACCTGAGCTTGGGGTGTTTGACAGTGTTGGGGGATGGTCATCAATGCATTTTCATTCAGTCTCATATACAGATAATTTGAGCATTCCCAATACGGGATGGATGCCTGTTGTATTGGTGGTTCTACACCTGTATAGTATATACTCATTGAATAACTCACTATATATCCATATTCTACAACCGACTATATAATATGGATATATTCTATTTCCATTATCAACCCACTATATATCCATATTAGAATTATCAACCCACTATATATCCATAGATATATATATATATGGGATGCAAAAAAATACTATCTCACCCACTATTATTATCCATTATCACCCATTATGGGATTATTGTTGGTGAAATCTCCCATGATATCCCACGAAGCTTGAAACAAAATCGTCCCATGTCGTACATGACAGGCAGGAACGAGATAGCGAGGCTGAAGCCGCGAGTGTCACGAACGAGGACAGAGTCGACGGAGTCAGTGTCAGATGGCGTCAGGATGTGGTGTTTTTCCATGTTTTTCCAGTGTTCAAAAGCCTGGTTGGATGATAGATATAGAGATATTATTGGGGATTATACTATATTATACTACCCTTCATATATTGGGAATTATAATAATATATAATAATCCAATATAATCCAATAGGGAATCCCGTTCTTAAGTTCTTAACCAACAAGTATACCAACGAAAGGCAGAGGGATTTTGAACACTGCTCACATGGTCACTAAACATCCCCAACGGCTCACAATGGGTGGGTTGGGTAGATCTTCACATCTAACATTTGGATTTGTCCAAAATAGGGGACATTAACCCAGTCATGACCATTTTTTTGAAACTGATGACGATATTGACCATCCGTTGGAATTGGAGGTAGCCTATTTGAAAAGAGCCCATGGATAAGTTCACCAGCGACAATTTGGAATGTTATTATGTTGTTTTGCCACCGGAAAAACCTTTCTTCTGACCATTTTTATAGGGAACGAATATATGGGAAAATGAAGATCAACCATGACTCTGTTGGGAAACATGTTGAATGAAGAATTTGATGAAACAACAAGGAATTGATCGCAGATCCAATGCTGGAAACCAATGGATTCCTCCAGAGAGTGGCTTTGATATACGTACTCATGGGGATGTGTATATATATATATCACCAACTCAATATTGTGGTTGGGTCTGAAAAGGGGGGATACCTCAGTTCATGGTTATGACATGTTATGAATCTATGAACTTTCAATAGGAAACAGGATGATAGGAACCATCCCCATGTCCTGTGAGGCTTACCTGGCAGAATCTCGCTCGTCCCTCCGACAGCATGAATCCTTGAGAGCAGAGGCCAAGATCATGGGAACCAAACCAGACCGGTTGCATTTCCAGATGAAATAACATGATTATAACATTAAGATAGAATGAAATGGGAACCACGGGAACCATGAATAATCATGAATAATCATGAATAATCTGTTCTATCCTTTCTATGATTCATATTGATTTATATTGATTCATGTCAGATTTGTTCAAGAGTTTGAAATGCATACTTTGTACATAGTCCAATGTAGATGTTTTTTCACACCAATTAAAAGGTTAGATTCGCCACTATTTCCAAAGTGCAATTTACCTGTATTTTAAACTTTTTGGATTCATACTACTGGATTGGTATTAAACATGTTAAAAACCACTATATGACTGTTATAGTCTAATTAAATAAAATATACTGGAATATATATATATATAACCGCTGGACTGTTAAGAACTGATTCACCACTATTAAATCAAAGTATAATTTTCAATATGTAACTTTCACTGATTCACCACTAGTATATAACTTTCAATACCTCTACATAATAACTGATTCACCACTGTTAAAGTATAGCTTTCAATTCATATATATATATATACCTTAAGCAACCAGGCCCCAAAAAAAACAATGGACATATAGTATTAAACCCTACTTTTTTCCAGGTTTGGTAGGTCAAGGTATATGATTCACCGTGACCTGCCAGGCGCGCACCCGTCTTTCGGAAGTGGCCTCCATGGAGGAACCATGGGGTGTCTGGTGGAACCATGGGAATATCTAATTATGGAATGTTCTCCAATATCTATTCAGAATATCTATTTAGAATATCGAAAAGGAATATTCTCCAACATTGAGATGTGGTACCCTCTGGTAATTTAACATAGCTATTGAAAATGTCCATAGAAATAGTGAGTTTTCCCATTGAACATGGTGGATCTTTCCATAGTTTTTTGTATGTTTACCAGAGGGTAAGATGTTTGTCCAAAAAACTACGTTAACCAAATCCCTGACATCCACCATGGGAAACCACGATGGAAACCATGGCTGGGATATGATGAACTACCCTTTCAGGTTGCAAGAACAAAGCAGATCAGTTGACAATGGTTACCCTCTGGTAAACCAACATAACTATGGAAAATCACCATGCTATTAATTGGTAAATCAACTATAAATGGCAATTTCCAATAGCTCTGTTAAATTACCAGAGGTTAATCCTAAATGATTGGGAGTCTAAGATGCTGCTGGTTCAGCAATGCTGGTTCCAGCAGGAAACCAAACAATGGTGGAAGGTAAGGGAACCAGTAATATTGATGATATATTGGGGGTATAAAATTGGCAAAACTTGGAGAAATCGGGCTTTGAACCATAATGGGGATATCATGACAATGGGGTGCTCCACCCATGATAGGGAATGGTAGCCACTTTTGGGTGGAACATGGATCATTTGTTCCCTTTTTAATTGTATCTGCCCAGTTCCCACTTGTATCTGGGGTATGGGGAGCAACCCTGGTGGGGATTTAACATAATGCGCAAAAATTGGAAGTATAAAATTGGATCTGGGGTATAATTTATAGCCAATAAGATGATCTTTGGTTGTGTTATGTTGTGTTGATTCTTCATGGCATTGAGAATCCAAACCCGCGATCATATCAGCCCCCATGTCCCTGCGCCCCAAGTCTCTTTGGGTAGTGTATTCAAGATTTAGGGAATGTGATTTGATCAGTGAACATGTTTTTTTTTAAAAAAAATGGTTTTGGTTATTTGGAAGCATCCCTCTAAAGAATCCAGGGGTTCGGATTAGATTAGATACTGCATTCAAAGGGACATCATTGAAAATTACCCTTTGCTAATCAAACGTGGCTGGCTGGAAAATCCCCGAACTATATAAATTGAGGTTTATCCTAGTAAGATCATAGAAAGTCCGGATTTTTCCCATTTCAACATTCCAACCTTTGAGTACCGGAGTGTATTTGTTATCGACAGTGTGTCGCCAGATGACGTGCCACGCAGGACTTCCAGAGGAGCCTGGATGGACAGGCAAAAGTTCTTCAGAATGAGTGTTTTGGCGCTGGGATCAGCAGGGGCTCCGTGTTGAAAACATCAACCCCCAGTTCAAGTGAGTTAAAAGCCATGGTTACCCTCTGGTAAACATACAAAAAACTATGGAAAGATCCACCATGTTTAATGGGACAACTCACTATAAATGAATTTAAATGGCCATATTCAATAGCTATGTTAAATTACCAGAGGGTAAAACACATGAAAATACCATGTTAAAACCATGTCAAAACTGAACATTCAAATTCCCATTGGATTGGCAAATTTTTGAGCGATTTCGGCCCTTGGGATCCGGGAACGCACCGCAACTTCCCATCGTTTTTTTTAAAAAATTACCCTCTGGATATTCAACATAGCTATGGAAAATGGCCCATTTATAAATAAATATATATATATATTTAATTATGATATATATATATACGTATATATGATATATATATATATATATACATACACAATTTTATAACCCCGACTTGAGTTTCATCCCATGTTTGCTGAGGCTCAGCAAGGTTGCGTACAGCATCGGACAGAGGGACCATGAGCTGAAGGCTGGGACGCGTGACGGCAGTGACTCCCTGACTGGGGATGTAGACTTGAGTCGACTCGTAGGACTGATCTAGATGGTTTATATCAATAAACATGGTATCTGTTCCCATAAAATGATGGGAAAACCATAGAAAAACCATAGGAAAATGATGGGTGTACCCTCTGGTTATGTCAAAATAGCTATTGAAAATGACCATAGAAATAGTGGATTTTCCCATGAACAATGGTGGATCTTTCCATAGCTATGTTAGTTTACCAGAGGGTAATTGTTATGTGATTTTAAATCATTCTACAGATGATTTACCCTCTGGTTATGACTAACAGTTCGCCATGGTTTTTCGATGGCCCTAATCGAAATAGATGGTTTACCTGGGTTTACCTATTAATAGGAAGGTGGGATTTTCCATGGTTATGTTAGTCATAACCAGAGGCTAAACATCTTTAAACAACAGCAACCCTGAAGGTCTCAGAAGGCCATTTCTTCAGCCCCGGAACCTGCCGTTTCGTTAGGTGAAAGATTCGGAGCTCCAAGAAGTTCGCGAAAATCTCAGCGGGATCCAGGACGAAATGGATGAGGTCAACAGCCAGTTGAAAGCCCCTCGGCGTTAAAAAACTCCAAGAAATCATAGGTTTAACATGGTTTCACATGGTTTAACCATCAAAAATGTTGAGTTAATATGATTTTTCAAGGGATATTCATGGTTGGTTCGATTTTAAGCAGCAACCCATCCAGGGGGTTCATCCAAATTCATGGCTGATTTCCATGGGGATCTCTGACCCCGCTGTACACGCTCCAAGGTCCAGTGCCAACGCGTTCAACGCGTGGAGCGTGAACTCTCCCTATCCAGTGATTTGGGACACTCTGAGGAGAACATGGTCTATGAGTCCAGAGGGCTTACCATGGCTTACCCTCTGGTAATGACTAACAGTTCGCGAACTGGAAAGATCCACCATGCTATCAATGGGTAAATCAGCTGTTTCTATGTTCTATGGCAATTTTCAATAGTTATGTTAGTTTACCAGAGGGTAAATTTCAGGGAATATCCCTACAATTCATATGGTCTAAGTTCTGAAGGGTAGAGTATGGTACAGTACCTCCATTTTTTTGGATCCTGGCATTCCCATTGAAGGTTAGGTCAGTTAAAAACTGTTTTTTTTGAACTCTGAAAAATGGCTATAACTTCAAACTACTAAACATGACTAAACAGTTAGTCATGATAGTTTAAGAAACATTTCTTCATCAGGACTATATTAGTTACTAACCTGAAACTCTAAGATCATTGACTCACTTTTCAGATATTTTTAGCTTGACAACTCGATCATTTTCCGCAACACATGAAGCACGAGACATGATTCAAATATATTTATATATCTATATACGTATATATAGAGAGATAGATAGATAGATAGATAGATAGATAGATAGATAGATAGATAGATAGATAGATAGATAGATAGATAGATTATCATATATATATATATATTATAACATATTGATAATGATTATAGGTGAGTGCTGTAATGATTTAATGATTGTACTTTTGACGTATTTTCGAATTTCGGGATGAGGATCCTACCCGACACTGAGGAGAGAAGGTCAAGAATATGCGGTTGATGCTACAAGAGTCGCACAGCAACTCAGCTGCGGTTGGAGAAAATATGGGGAATTTTCTGCAGAAAACACATGGAGAACTATGATTCTCTATGATTGATTATCGTTAATTACTAATTAAGTACCATGTTCTGATGAAATAGATGAAATTCAGCAGAGTTAAGGGTGCCCCAATTTGGTGCCACCAAAAACAAACTCAACAGCCGCAGTTTTCTCAACGGGAAGCCTGAAAAAAACCCAGGCGGCATCGCCCAGCTTTGTGCCTTAGTGAATCAGGACGGTGGGCATGCTTGCCACATGGCTCGCATCTCACCACTTTCATGCTGTGTTTTGTTCATGGACTGCGGTGAAATTTGATGAACACGGTGCAGGAGCGGCAGAAACGCGATCAATATACTCAGGGCTTGAAGCAACAAAGGTGAGGGTGGACAAATCAGAGATGATCACAGCTGAGAATGAGAGGGGTATGATGATTATGATGGGGTATGGGCTGAATCCTATGGGCTTAGAATTTGGCGTATGAATATCAACAAATCCGGACTACTTTGTTTTTTTTTGCGGTGAACAGAAGGAGATTCCATGGGTCTTGAAGACCCTCACAAGATCGAAGAAAGTCTTTGCAAAGTCACTACGTCAGGCTGCGCACCGAACTCCTTCTCCAGCTTTTGCACTTCGGTCTGCATTTGTGATGGATGAAACATGATGAAACTATCCAAGAGAAATGAATCTTGGTCGCCCGAAAGGCGAAACGGACATCATTAGAATGCACACTTAAGCCAGACTGCATTTGAAGCATGGAGAATGGATTTTGGATTTTGAGTAAATCTGCTCCAATCTTCACACTATAAGAAAAAACATTCGAAGATCTCCATGCTTTGATGAATTTCATGGAGTTATAATATGTTTCACCAGCACTGGCCAGGCATCACTTCAAAAACCGCACACAGGAGTTGGCCCTGCTCCAAGTCTTTTTCTGTGGGACAAGTCTACTACCGGAATGCCACAGTACTGTCAACCCTGGAATTTTGCTATTTTGGCTTTAGCATCTATGCCTCAAGCACGAAACCATATTCCAGAGATTCCAATGATTGGCATCAGCCTGCTCTTGTTCCTTACTGCGGCGGCAGATTCCCGGCGCTTCGGTCGAGTCCCAGATCATTTGGTTGCAGCTTTGGTAGCCCAACGCCGGACAAGGAACATCAAGGAACCAGAGTGCCCAGCATCGCCTTTTCTGTGGTGACTCCAATCGAGCTGCGGCCGAGGTCCTCAGCAAAGGTGATTGACACTGCATTTGGCGCCGAAATGCTTCAAAAGTACAAGATCAATCAATGGGCTTCAGGGGTGTCTGAGTTTCACATGGTGATTTTGATGATTTTGTTGGAAAGAAGCCATACGAGTTCCAGGCAATGCATAATGGACAGCTAGATTTAGCTGCCTGGAAAGACAGGATCACATTCCACGCCGTGATCCCAGTGGCCGTGAAGGGATGTGAAGGGCTACTGCACGGAAGGAGATTTGGACGAGATCGTGAGCCACAAGACTTTGTAGATTTTGAAGAATTGTGAGCCCGTTTCAGGTTCATGGAATGCTTACATCCGCATGCCCAACTTTGCAATTATATTGGGTATAGCGGTATAATGCGGTATAGCCTCGCGTTGATAGGCACCGAGAGGATGGGGCCGTGCCATCAGCTCTCCCGGGCATTGCTGATCAACGGAGCAGGGCTGGCGTAGTCTGTGCTCTCCCAAGGGTTGGCATCCCATCCTGGGCCGTTCTGCTGGAGAGACTGAACTGCTTCAAATCGAATCATTCGAAATTCGAAATACGGTCACCGACGTCTCATTCCTTCCAAGATTGCGAAGAAAGACGCGCTGCCATTGATCCACCCAGAGAAGTTCCCGCACATTCGGATGTCAAATGGCAGGCCCACTCAGCATGGGATCCGTGCTTGAGCTTGGCCAGTGCTCATGCCCTTTTCGATAGGACCCCCAAAATGCTCGGCGTAAAATTTGAGCTGCGCCACCATCAGCGGTTGAATCCTCAAGGAGCAACGTGAGTCCTGCCGAGGCGCCACAGTCGCTGCCCGATGTTCTGGCGCCAAGTTCGGGTCGCCTGGGGTATGGCAGTGCCCTCCGCAGCCTGGGATCTTAACCCATAGGATCCATGTATGGTATATATATATATGGTAACATTTACCATCAATATACCCCCAATGTTAGCATATATACCATACATGGATCCTATGGGTAAGGGACAATTGATCGGAACCTCCTAGGTGTTTTTGGGATCAAACGCATACGTAGGCTAGTAGGGTTCCGTGGATTTCCTGGATTTTTCCGTTCAACCACCAGCATGCTCCATGGAAAATGACGACCTGCAGGTGTCGATGCACCTCAAGAACCAATGCTGGCAGCCCAAGATATGGCCAATCATGGAGGATGGATATGGTCACTGATCAAATTTTATGGCTGGGTAAGATGGTTTGCAAAAGCCTTGGATTTCTGAATAGATTTCTGAATAGCCTATTGGACAAACAGATTAGAAACACTTAGAAACGAGTTGCGTTGTTTTTTGTTCCGCGACCTAAGGACTCCACAGCCGCGTGCAATGGGGTAGACCACGGACGGATCGCATGCGGGCAAAAAGACTGCGATTGTTTCTCATCTGTAGATGGTTTGGAACATGATGTTTATTTTTCCATATCATATATATATATTGTGAAGAATAATCCCAACTGACTAATATTTTTCAGAGGGGTAGGTCAACCACCAACCAGTCATGTTTCTCCTTGGTGGAAACACGTTGGAAGCAGAATCCAGCGATCTTCATCGATGCAATCTCTTGTCATCCCATCCCATTGGAAAAGCACCTCCATTGTATGGTCAATAGGTAAATCCCCTAGATCCACCATGGTTTCTGGGGTATGTTATTACATATGTTATCATATGTTGAAGATTAGGCTGGTGAAAGGAATGCTCTTTGCGCAGGGATGCGGATATTGGCACAGACAACATCCAGAATGCCTTTGTGAAAAGCTCGAAGCCCAGACGGGGCTCGACTGGATTTGCCAATGGGGGACACACAGATTGTGAGCCAAGTCAGGCTGTTCCAAAGTGGACGCACGTCGTTGGCAGCTCCAGTGGCCGGAAAAAAAGGGGCAGATCCACTAGATGCGCCTCCGAAATCACAGTTTCGTCACATGTTCCATCTTAAAATGACCGCACAATATGGTGTTGTTTGGCTTTGTTTGGGTAAAACTCGGGTGGAATAGAGGGCTTGTGGCGAAACCTAGAATGAAGCGAGATATGATGAGATATAATTATATAATATATATTATATGTATCATGTGGGTGGTTCAAAAGTCCTGCCTCTTCCGTCTTAATTTATTTAATTTAAGCGACGTATAATATAGCCGGAATAGAGATGTGAAAACACGAGGTTACACAATAAGTACATGTATCTTTTTTGTCCTGGTCTTCTTATTTGTTCTTACCTCCTTGTTCTGTGTGGCTTTTCTACTTTTCCATCTCTAGCATCCTTTCGTTCGCTATGCGTCAAATATTGTTCTCCGATCATTGTGATGCTTGTGTTCTTCTTTTTTGTTTCCTAATGATGCGTTTTTTTTTCTAATATCATTTGTCTTCTTTCTTAGGCAGACTTTTCTTTTCTACTACTTTTTGTTCTTTTTCCTGCTCCTTTTCTAAACTTGTCTGGGCTCCTCAAAATGATTTGAAACCTGTCTGAAAGTTGTCTGAAACAGTGAAGAGTTGCAAGCTCATCCGCGCTTCCACCACCGCTTTCATTCAAAGAGAAGAATCTTGAACTGCTACAGAAGAGGGAAAAGTAGCAAAATGAGGAGGGGACGAATACAATAAAGCAACAACACACTTGTCCACTGGCGTGCAAGCATCAGTAGGCCAATATTATCCGTGTGGACAGATGCTTCATCATATCAGTTTCTTTTGCGCGTATATTTCCTTCGCTAGGCCTCTCATTCTTTCTTCTGTGTTTCTGTTTGTCTGTCTGTCTTTCTGTCTTTCTTTCCTTTCTTTCAGGAATCATGTGCGCACTTCCTCGTTGGTGATTCCAGGCCTCGCACAGCCTCCGGCCAGGAAGCACCCAACCACCATCGTCGCCAAAGCATTCGCCACCGTCCACCCCACCTTGGCCCTCCACTGCTTCGAACGCCTCGGCGTACCATGGCAACTCTTAAACAAGCATGGTCACAACAGCACCACTGGATCCACACCAGCAACACCAGAACTTGTCACCTTGCGGAGACTTTTTGTCACCCCTGGCCTTCACGGCGGCTCTGGCAGGACCCATCAACAACATCTGCAACTTAAACGCGATGCAACACCCACCAGGCTGACGGGCATTAGCTCACCACCTTCCTTGACCATCGGACAATGATCGCTTGGAACGCGCGACACTTGGCCTGCAAGAGAACTACAGCAAGCTCGCCAGTCTGCAGCTGCAGTCTTTCTCTCTGTCTTTCTCTCTCTGTCTTTCTCTCTATCTTTTCTCTCTGTGTCTCTCTCTCTCTCTGTCTGTCTGTCTGTCTGTCTGTCTGTCTGTCTGTCTGTCTCTGTCTCTCTCTTCTTTCTTGCTTTCCGGATATAGGTAAAAGTATGGCCATCTGCCCAGCAGCTCAGCAGTTCAAAGTCCATGTTTCTGACAACAGCTGACCTATCGATAGCAAAATATAACCTGTTGCGCCCAGTGACACGGACAAACATGCCAATTATAATTGCGAAGTGTTGCATCCGGGAAGCACAAGTGCTGTAAAACCGAAGCCGCATCCACGGAACCATAATTTAGAACAACCCCCATGTAACATATATACCTGGGTCACCCTAAGTGCTTCAAAAAAAATGTGATTTCAATAACACATGTTTTTTGGAAAAATGGCCGGTGGCATCGCAAAAATAATTCAATACCGCAATTTTCCACGTTTGGGAAGAATGCATTTCTCAAAAGGCGCAGGAATCTTGCGTGTTTCTTCACTTTCCCTACCTGCTCACTTTTCTTGGTCTACGCTACGCCTTCCAAATGGTCAAAACACGTGGGTTTGAAGGCCTGTGTGCCAAAATCTCGCGCAGATTTCAATGCTGTTCAATCAGATCCATTTTTTTAATCGCGGAAATTTGCGGGAATATCGCGGAAACATTCGGACAACATTTGGATATACATGTTTGCTTAAGTGTTCAGATATGTTCACCTCAGCCAAAAAAATCAGTATGACTTGTGCTAGTGCTAGTTTTGCTATAACCAGCCTAAAATTTGAGGAAATGAGCTGATGCGATTGGACGGGGGTATGTGAACAACACGATCAAATGCCATATCGCACTTGTGACATGTTATCGCAGTTTTCATGTTCCATCGCATTTATCATACCAAGATGTGTTTGTCGCATCTTTTTCCACACTTGGGTTTCACAGGTATATATATATATTTGCTAATTATAGTATATTCACAGGTACATAGATCTATTATAGACATATGCATATATATATATATATAGATTGAGTCATCGACCTAGGTGCGCAAGGGAATGCCAGAGGGTATCTCACCGCCCAGGGACCTAATCCATGGCCGTTCTTGTTTTCCCTTACCCTCTGGTAAACAAGCATAGCTATTGAAAATGGCCATAGAAATAGTTGATTTACATATTATAAAAATGGTGATCTTCCATAATAGTTATGTTTGTTTACCAGAGGGTACTTGTGGCATTTGGGGGTTTTCTGACGGACTCTGCACTTCCAGTTGAAAAATATACTTTCCACCGACCAAATTGTCCAGCAGTTTCTGTCGGATTTAACACGATTCGATGAAGTATGATGAAGTCTGATGAACTCATATGTAGGATTATGTAGGGAAAATACCTTGAACACAGATGGGTGTTGTGTGTGTGTGTTGAACAGAAAGGTCAGCTGCATGCAACGATTCTTCCGATGGCTCAAGATTTTTGGCTGTTCACCAAGCCCCAGAGATGACCTTCCAGACACGTTGTCAGATGGCATGAATGGTACATGACTGCACCAGGGCTGTATGTCTCTTATGTTGGAATGGGGCAGAACAATGGAACTTTCAAGAGCCTATTCCAACCTGCTAAAGAGAGAGTGCAACCTTAGCAGCCAGTTTTTTGTTTGAAAAGGTCAGGAAAACCTTCAAAATCAAATTTTCTCCGTTAGCCATGAAGTGGGAGATCCCCATCATTCTCGGACAAACCCACGCAAGAAATTGGCAGTTTTGTCATTCGGCCTTTAGATTTTCCTGCCGATGCCGAAGCCGCGTCGAAAGGTACAGGGGACATGTTGAAAAAACTCAATCTCCCAAAATACCAAGCACGTTGGTGGTTCCAAGATGTTCTAGGATTCGTTATTGGCACCCATCTTTGGGATATTTTAAGATACCACAACCCCCAGTGACGAACATCTTTTTGGGGCCCGGATGGGTCAATCACACCTCAACAAACTCGCCCCGGCCCAGAATCGACGACCAGCGGCCAAATGCAAGAAAAAACCGCAAAAACCAGGCCTTGGGTGGGTTCAGCGCAAGGATGCGCAAAGCCATTTAAATTTGATACAGTCTCTTTATACCATGGCAAGAACAATTAGGCCATGGGATGCGGTCGATAGTTTATACATGAAGGTTTATAATATATTTACATAATATTTATTTTGGTATTTTTCCACATCTCAGAAATGGTGACTTGAAGATTTCCATGGCATGTTTGGTACTGGTTGGCTACCAGCGGCTTTGCAAACTGACACGATGCAATGAGCTCGGCCGCTGGCAGCTCGGGCGCGAAGCGCATCGAGAAGCTATAGCTACTCGAGAAGTGGAAGTTACAGCGAGAGTGAGGCGAGTTCGACCACAAAAGGGGGCAGTTGAGCACATGGGACTCCTGGGACGTGGGAAAAATGTGAAAATCATGGTGAACATATTCATGGCGTTCATGGATTATGATAATCCCTAGTAAATATAGAGGGTAGTACAGCTATCATACGTATACTCAAAGCTCCTGGAATTATCATGAATTACCAACTGATGTTTCTGTCATACATAAATCCCAGCTACTTTGGGGTTTCCTATGCTTTTCCTAAATGGGTTTCCTTTTTGTTCAGGGCTCTTCAGATGGACATTCCGATGAAGATGACCCAAGGGACTACAAGCGCGGAGGTGCCGTCCGCTGACCGACATGTCGCGGTTGTGAAAAAAAATCATCGAAAATGGAGCTTTCTATGGGAAAATGGAGCTATTGAAAATGGTGTTTTAATGGGATTCAATGGTGATTCAATGGGATTTAATGGGATATATGATGGCTTACCCTCTGGTAAACAAACAGTTTGCTATTGAAAATGACCATAGAAATAGTGAGTTTTCCCATTAAAAATGGTGATTTTCCATAGTTATGTTAGTTTACCAGAGGGTAAATGATGGATATATTGTCATGTTTGATTACCGGAGGGTAACAAGATTCTAAATTCAAAGGAACCAAATAGAACTGGCTCTCCATTCCAAGATAATTTTAGCTCCAAAGGGCAGGAGCTACATCTGTACGGCCAGGATATCATCCTGTGATGCCATACCAGCTGTACAATGCAAGGCTGGCAGCGCAGCTTCACGGCCTTTTTGTTCCAGATGGTGTATATATATATATATCACTTGCCAGAAATGGAATCTATGCACATGACCAAAATTCAGATTCATTCTGGTCTTACATGTTTTTCCAGAATTGGAGTTGACAGTTCCATGACTTCCAAAATATATCGCAGCACCTCAACACGACATCGATCAGCAGATGGGCCAGGTACAGAGTGCTGTCCAAGCTGGGCGCGGGTGCTTTCTCAACAGCCCCTTGACCCCTTGCTCTTTCCATCCCCCTGCTGACAAGTTGGGTAAAGTAAGGTGATTATCCATTAATGGTGTTTTAATGGGATTCAATGGTGATTCAATAGCATTTAATGGGATATATGATGATATACCCTCTGGTAATGACTAACATAGCTATTGAAAATGGCCCATAGAAATAGTTGATTTACCTATTGAAGATGGTGATTTTCCATAGCTATGTTAGTTGACCAGAGGGTACATGAGTTTTATGAAAAACATATCTAAAATTAGAATATCAATAGGCCCAAAATCATCAAAATCCTCCTGAAGTTTTTGTTCGCGCGAAACCAATCATTGGAGAAAGTAAGATAGTATACATCATTTTGGTGAACAAATCATCAATAGGCCCAAAATCCTCCTGAAAACAAATACATAGTAACATTTCACGTACGATTTGTTCATCGTTGGCGGTTTGGGCCCGGGGTCCAGGTTTGGCTCTGTGCAGATGAGAAGGTCGTCTCTGGGCCGTTGGTTGCCATGAAGGTGCAGTCGCAGGGATGCCGAAAAACCATAGGTTTCAATGTGCAAAACCCATAGGGTTGCAATATGTTTCAAGACTAAGTCATGGTCATCCATGACTTGGATGAGTTGGTACCCCATGACTTGGGAAACCTGTATTTGACGAATTTTTAAGAGGTGCTTTTCAAGAGGACTGGACTTTCCAGTTGGACTTTGCCATGACGTTGACTTGAAAAGTGTGATTTATTTATGTATTCTAATTTCAGATAAATTTAGATAATTCACACCTGAAAAGTTGAATCAAAATTGGAACTTCAGATAATTTCATGAGTCATAGAGAGATTTCGTGAAGTTTCACGGCAAACCGGGGCCAGGTTTGCAAGTCGAAGAAGAGTGTGGCTGAACAGGTGCTGCGATGTAAGTCTTACACTATCCCATTTTATGGGCTGAGAAACATGTCAACATAGCTTGATTATGAGATATTTTGAGCATGGTGGCATGTTTATCATTGGTTATCTCTTTGACAATGATGATCCCAGTTTCAGTGTGTTTAAGTTGCAGCCATCCTGATCCATCCACGTTCCAGGCCCAAGATGAAGTGATGCTGTTCGAGCAGCTGGTGCCCTAGACATGTCAACCTTCGACCACCACATGTGATCTACAGATATGTACAGTAGATGTGAAATGACAGTCATTGTTTACTATGAGTCATCTTACACAAAGTGCAGTCAACGGTACTTCTGCAGCCCATAGTTTGCAGAGTGGGCGATAAGAACTGTGGGGCTGTGCCAAGGATGCAACAGAATGGCAGAAGCTCGCCATTTGTCGTCAAGGCACACAGGATACATAGGGCCACTGATGGGCAACTGCCAAGGCAACTTGCATCAACTGGCCGAAAAATGGAATGACAACCCTTGGAAAAGGATGATCACTCTCAATTGGAATTTTGAAGTGTTCCATGGTTGTAGCCACATTTTGGTCATTTATAGATAGGCACTTTCCCATATTCCAAATATTCCAATGCCCTGGCAGATGACGGACCACTTCTGGCACACCGGCCCCAACGGCCGCCACAAGTGCATGACCTTCGAGGTCATGGGTGAGAACCTGCTGGCCCTCGTGACTCGGTGATGACTCGAGGCTTCCATAGGTCATGGGGAAAAACCGCCCCTCAGTCTGGGAGTGTTGATTTGAAAAAACAAACACCCGAAAAAACGGACGAAAAGGGCAGACCAAAAAAATGGGTACCCCCATGACTTCGGAAAGCTCCTGTTGCTGGGCCTGGATGGGCCTGGATGGGCCTGGATGGCTGCTGGGCCTGGATGATCCTGATGGCCTGCAGGTGAAATACTATGACTACAATGGTATTCCACTGCCCCTGTGTCGACGACTTTCGAGGTGCGATGGCATGTGTGATGCATTGGTTGCTGCGTTGTGATGCTAGGATAGTGGGTTGCTGCTGGTTGCTTCATGAATGCGGAACAAACATCGTGAGTTCACCACGTTCGCGGTCAGTTGAGGGAAGATTCTCTTGCTGCAGCATTGCTGTTGAGCCTTTGGTAGGAGTCGCAAAAAAACATGGCCTTGGGGTGACAGTGAAAACGATGGTTGAAAACATCAGCAATTGTGATGCAATGTACATCAATGTACCATCTACTTAGTTGATCTCTATCTACGATGTATGATGTGTTTGCTGTTACGTTTTCGCATTTTTCGCCTTGGGAATCGACGCGAGGCACACCTTGAAGGGCCTGGAATACATCCATGCCTGTGGTGTGATTCACACTGATGTTGGAAGCCCAGCTAACGACCGACTCGACCGGTGACACAGCTGAAACAGTGCCGACGCCGTTCCTGAAGAGTTTCGTTCAATGGCGATCCCCTGACAGGTGAAGTTGGAGAATGCAGCACCAACCTGTTTAGATCGCCACATGCCAAGCACATGAACACCGGGATGTTTTTGTTGCCGGAATCGGTGACCCCATGGACATCCATTGGCATCAGACGATTTGATGCGGTTTTTCGCCATTCTCCATTGAAATCAACCCAAATTTGGGGCTAAACCACGAACTATTTGGATCTTTTGGGATTTTGGGGCTCTTGGATGTTGATGGTTTTGTGGATTCCACCTGCAGACCATCCAGCATTGCAACTGACTCTGAAAAACAATTGCAACTGCAGCTCCGCTGAGTAAGAAAAACCATCACTGCGATGGTTGCCAGGTCTTGATTTGCCGCCATGACATGACAGCTCTTGTTCAGGAGGCCATGCCGTTGCGCTGGAGATTTTTCTGGCTGAGTTGCTACAAGATTCTGTTTTAGTTATGGTGGTTTGGATCAAAAATTGGGTGACCCAAAACATCCCAAAACCCTTGGTTTCCCTGTTTAACATCAACATATTTGGATGGTTTGGGTGGTCTCCAATGGTTCAGAGACAGCTATAAGATATGTTGAGACATTGAGTGGCTTCATAAAGGTGATACATCCCACAGGGATATCCCTGAGGCCAGCCAAGCGCACCTCGCGTTTTCTGAGCAGAAGGGCAAGTTGGAGTCGCTCTCAAAAAGCCTCCTGGAAGAAATTTAGGCAGCAATCGAACCGTTGAACCATTTAACATACGTAGATGATGAACAATATCTAATTTTGCTGTATACATTTACTTAAATCTTAGCAATATTCAACATAGCTATTGATAATGGCCCAGTTATAGATGACTAAAATGATGATTGAAGCCGTTGAACATGTTGGGTTTTCCCTAGCTATGTCCAATTTTGGTATCGGGTATCCATTCTTCTGGATGAATTTGATCATAACCTCGCTGAGACGTCGAATGATGGGAATTGTAAGTGCAATGGGATTCGTGCCAGGGCCACCCTTTTGCAAATGCTGGGGGGTCGCCCTTCTTGGTCAACGGAAAAGGTCGTCATTCAGGTTAGTGGAACATTAGATTTCCGCCAGATTACCAGATTACTTATTGCGGCTCTGGCTCGGCAACAAATCAAAATTTATCGTTTTTGTTGGCAAAGAGTTTGGGAACCAAGCACTGATTTGTAAAGATGTGTGATTCTCGAAATTGAGGAGCCTCAGAAACCACCGCAGGGAAGGCCGATCCTTTGGACGGTCAAAATCATGGCCTCAGAGATTTTCTGAGGCCAAAAGAAGAGGTTAAAAAAGAAAAACAAAAAGGCAGCAGAAGCAGCAGAAGCCGCGGATGCTAAAGCTTCGGACGAGGACTGGACGACTGGGGTTTCTGATGGTTTCTGGGTTTCTCCCAATTTTGGATGGAATAATTAGCGCCAGTGCGGTTGGCTATTTGAGAAGGGATGATCCAGTCCTATCATCGTTTCTTTTTGTGAACGCTGGACTTGGATGTTTCTTGTCTTAAAATGCAAAAACATGACTCCAAACCCTGGTTGATTCCTCCGAAATGATTTTTCGGACATTTTAGGACCCAGTCAGCTACCCCAAGCCATGGTTGATTTGGATGTTTATTCCTAATATTATATAAATCAATATAAATCATGGACATCGCTAAACAGATCCAAGTGAAAGCAATTTTCCAGGATTCCAGGACCCCATTGATTCCTAGAACTCCAATTGACTCCTGGACCTTGCGCAGGAGATCCCGGTCGAAGATGGCCCCCCGGCGCCTGAGGTGCCACAGGAGGCTGACGTCAATGGCAATGGCTACGGTCAGGACCTCAGGATGTTTAACCGAGAAATTGGGGATGGCATGATCATTGAGAAATATATCAATTCATATCAATTCTGAAGGATTTTTAAAGGTAATGATGTATGGATTATAGCTTTTTTCCAAGATATCTATTACAGTATAGTTTTAATTTCTTTCATACCCATGGGAATATCCAATTATTAGATGTCAGAATTATTAGAGATGAGCTTTAAATATCAATGGGAATATATAATCAGGATATCCACAAATTGGGCATGCATATATTATTTATCATAAGCAACAGACATTGATTGTATTATTATACGTATTTAGTTTGTCCAAAGACTTGCTGATACCTAAGAATTATGATGAATTGAAATTTTGATGGGAGACATGATGGTTGGCCATACAAGTGTTTGCACCGTATTTCAGACAGAGCCATTTGAATGATCATCAACATTCAATGAACATGGTACACATGATTAAGACGCAAGCCATGTCAGTCAATATTGTTTGTTGCAAACGGGCATGTTGTTTGCTTTTTGACAAACAGGACATGATGAAAGTGGATGGCTTAAAGAATCTTGAACATGTTTTACAATGTTTCGCTACAAAATCAACAGCATTCACCAGACATTTGTGGGTTGTCAAACGTTAAACCCCAAGAAAACGCAGCAGGTCATAGCAACGGCGCCCCTGTCAGCCCGGCGGCACCTGGTGCCGGGCTGGTGCAGCAACGGTCTCAAGAGATGGCGGTGGATCATGAAATACCATACTTTTTGAGGTGAACAGGACAAGGGTGAACTGACCAGCCAAATTGGAGGTTCAATGATTTTGAGGTTTCTTTGTTCCTATCTTGATCCCATTCCAAAGTTTGAGATGGCGGCATGTCGAATCCTCCCAGAACTGTTGATGAGGCCTGTTCCCCCCGTGCGGCAGCGAGAACGCTTCAGCACCTTAAAGTTGGAAGAGGCCTCGCTATGGCCCGGGAATTTGTTGCAGGGAAAGCTCATTTCGGTGGGTGAATCTACTGTTTGTTGGAGTTCCACCGGCATTTTGTAAAGTTCAGTCCCTAGAATTGATGATAACAATCTTTTCACCATCATGTTTTGTTGCTAAAATCTAAAGCTACAAGGTCGTGCCCCCATGTTAAGATGAAGTTAGACAATATATAAGTGAGTTATGGAAGATAGTTTGAAGTTAACATAACTTAAGTTAGGCCAGTTATAAGTTGATTTATAACTATGTTATAACTTTGCTAAGTTTTTAGAATGTAGAAATTGCCGTTTATGCCTAGATTTTCATGTTTTTGATACGAATTGAACGGTTGACGGGTGGACACACGGCGCAAGCAGTTTTTTCCTCATCAAGGCATGCAGAAAATGTCATTTTGGTTTGTCGAGCGCCACCAGCTGCACACGGCGGGCGTGACCAAGCTGCACACCAGCTTCAGGCTGCGTGGCTGCTAGCGTCTGCTCAGCGTCAGCCATATCTGCCATGGGATCAGCAGAACTTTGGAGGACAAAGTGCTGCAAAAAGATCACGAAATTTCCTTGGAATCATATTTTTGGTGGTCAAATACCGATTGGAAAACAACATTTTTACATTTCATATAGAACACATACGCGTTCTATTTTTATGGTGTAGAACACATACGCGGTCTATGTCTTGGGGTATAGAACACATGCGCGTTCATTGGTTTTGGCGTAGAACACATGCGCGTTCTAGGGTTTGGGGGATAGAACACATATGCGGTCTATATAGGGTAAAATATTATAGAACACAAAAGAACACAAAAGAACACATTTAGAACACATTGTGTTTTTGCTCGTTTTCCATCGAGCAAAAACTATATATCATAGTTTTATAGAACCCAAGTTGGATCCCCTCTGCATGCAGCGAGTCCCCACCCGCCCAAGCGCCATTTTTTCTGCAAGTGTCGTCTGTCAGTCCTGCTGGTCCGCGCTATGTCTCAAGGTTTCTTGAGAGCCACTTTCAGTAGTCGCTCTGCAAGCATTTGCCATCTCCACCCAAAAGATGCTGCCTTTCCCACAAACTTGATCAGAAACAGCTTCGAGGATGCCAAATGTTCCTATATTCACTGGTCAAAACATGCGAACTCAAAAAACAACACAACAAAACCTAACTTTGCTAACTTCCCCATATCTTATTTTTATCTTTTCCCCTTAAGTTACTTAAATCATGTTATAACTACTCAACTCAGTTACATCTACAACATCAGTTACACAAGTTATAACCAAGTTCGCTAATTTAGAAATCCACTTACTCAACTTATAACATAGGTTATAACAAGTTATTTCCTACGGGCACCACCTTGTATCCTCCCGGTACAAAGTGGATTCTGAAGGTAAAGAAGATGCCAATACCAAACATGTGATGATCTTCATGGTCACTGGTGAGTTGACAACTCTGCCGTACCTAAACCATCCTTCCAAATGACATGTCAAAATAAACAAAGGCCACCAATCTGTGTGTTTTTTCGAGCCAAGTATCGCATCCGTGAGGCTTTTGCAAAGCTGGCAGACTTTGGGAACGGCATCAAGGTGATCGGCTAAGCCAAGCCTCACCGCCCCCAACTTCTTTCACCGGGTTTTTTTTCCGGGATAGTGGTTTTTTTTTTACAACAGATATACGATGTACATAGAATACATATACGAAAAAACCGGGCAGAATCCCCAGTCCCCATCCTTGATCCGGTTTTGATGTTTTTTGACTCACGATTTGGGTACCTAAAATGGTGGAGGCTGCCCATGGGTTCATTTGGGCCAAATATGGGGGTAGCCGTCTAGCCATTTTAGGAAACACGGTACTGCCAGCAAAAAACAGCACTGCCGTGACATTTCGGCTCCAAAAAGTCCAGTTACAAAAACGTCACTTCCCGTCGAGCAAAACTGGCGCCTTGTTTGCACTTGGATCCAGCATGGCCGAGCGAAACCATCGATTCACAGAGAGCCGCATCATCTATGGCGAATTAGGATGCCCTCTGGTAATTTAACATAGCTATAGAAAATCACCATTTTTAATAGGTAAACCATCTATTTCTATGGGCCATTTTCTATAGCTTTTTGTGTTAGTTTACCAGAGGGTAAGTCACAACCCAGATCTATCCTTCTCTCTTAACATCTTTGAATCCACTGCAGAATTTTCATCCTAAGGAGGCAATGGAGCTTGCGATGGCCCCAACCGAGGCCCGCCGACGATGGAGCATTCGGCAGAGACCTCTATCTTAAGAGGGGAAACATGATGAACACATGATGATAAACCATGAAATTTGAGGATACTCACTTTGAGTATAGCCTATATTCAACCTATTCTCAGAAAAAACCAAGTATTGAAGATTCAGCAGTTGAAAACTGGTGCAAGCCTATGGAGTGAGCATCCCCCTGCACACAGAAGGATTCTGTTGAAAGCTTCCGCGCTTGCGCTCGTTTCAGAATCCGACGTGTCAGGGCTTGGAACAAATGCCCATGCATGTGCCAATCGGAAATTTGGGCCAACAAGTGCTGGAAGCTGAGTGCAGCCTGGAAGTTGTTCCAAGCTGATTCAGGATTTGTCGTCCGAAAAAGGATCGAAAAGGAACATCCTATAAAAATGATCAAAATGTGGATAAGTTACTTTCCATCTTTTTTGGGGTTCTATAACCACGGTTGACCGCTGAACCCCCCTTTGTTGAGGTCAATGCAGCCGCTGAGCCAGCAGCAGCAGCAACTCTTGCAGCAGATCAACCAGAAGACGAATCAGCAACATCTCCAGAGTCTTGGACCTTCGCAAGATCTGACACCGAAAAGATTTCGGGCACCGTATATCTGTAGGTCATCATCTAAAGGATATTCTGGGGATCAGTCACTATCAAGTGACCATCAATTCATGGGGTTTTTATCTTGGGGATATTGACTAGGTCAATCTGAATAATGGGTACAAACTAATCCTCACTGGTCTTGCAGGGTATCTGGCTGGGAATATCCACGTTCACCAGCAAAGAATTTGTCATTTTTTGCAGGGTATCTAAGATTGGCAATGATCTGTACTTTTAAGTATCTCAACACGAACTCACAGTGGCAGGATGGAGATGGAGAAATCTTAAGTTCATTTCAGTATGAAATGCATGAAATCACCTGTTCCCATGTGAATCAGTGAAAATTGTGGAGGAACGTTACCCCATATTCTCCTGGTTAGCTACAATTTGTGAAGCGCAATTTTTCGGGTGAGTGAAATCACCCTTAAATATCTCATAATTGGCGTGAGTTGAGTTACACCAGTTCCATCCCATTTTCTTCAGTGAGTTACTGCTTGGTGGGTTCAAACATGTTATTTATTTTCCATATATTTTCCATAAATCATCAAAAATATGGGATGTCATCCGAAACCCAGCTGCCTTTCACTCCATTTTTCAAGATGGGCACATTGCACCACCAGTTCCGGTGAAGTCCCCACAGAACAGTTCTGCCCCGTTCGGCCCAGGACTCTTTTGCTGCAGCAAGCACTGCAGGGGACGCCTCAACAGTCCCCGCAAGCACAGGTGCTGGAAGCTGGGGAGATTTATTAACCATCATTTCTTGTGGTGAGCATGAGTTTGTTTTAAAAAAACGTGGTTACTTTTATGGAAATCATGAAGATTCTTGATGTGTCTTGATGTGTCTTAAGTATGTCTTCCTCGTTTTTTGCGGTTTACACTGTTTACATCTGTTTACACTTTCCCAACTAAACCAACCCATTGATTAAAACGTAGATTCTGAGTATGAGATCATCTGCAATTTGCAGGTCGTTCTCCAAACAACAAACGTTCCCATATATACTGTATTATACTGTACTATTATTATGATTACTATTATGATTATTGCTGTTATTACTTACTAGTACTATTACTATTGATAATATGTATATATAATTATATATATAATTATAGATTATATCATAACCATAATATATATATATAATCTATCATATATATATAATATTATATTATAAACATCCATAGCATCATTTGTCCATCCCTGAGATTATTCACCATCTGGGCATCGCCAGGCCCAACTGCCTAATCTCCTGACCGGTCGGATGCTGGATCCTACTGGCTCTCTGCCAACCAAGGCGAAACGAGGGTAGAATGGGAGCTTTCTATCAAGGTGATGGACAGAACTCACGTATCATTTATCTTGCTTGATGTTCTTTATGTAGCTTGAATATGCTCTAATTGTTTAATGTCAATCCCATTGATATCCACAATAAAGCCTAATCAACCCCAAATCAACCCTAGTGAACCTAGTTACAATCCAACTTACCCAGGGGACCCTTCCTGATAGTGGCCGTGTTAGGGCCTGGTCCAATCCGGGGGAAGACGATGGTCAACCGGTCAACCATGGAAATTGATGGAGATACTGAAGATACTGGTCAAAGAACTATAGTAATTATACGCGCAAACACCCCGATTCGCCCACACCCCTTCTATCCTGTACACTTGGGGATATCAAACGTTCGACTTTACATTCAATTGGGAAGATCAACAAGGGTATTTAGGGAATATAAATTTCCCACTCCCGTTAAACTTCTAGATTCATTGACGATCTTCAATAAGGGTTTAATTCTCCCACCCCCGTTAAACTTCTACATTCATTGAAGATCTTCAATAAGGGTTTAATTCTCCCACCTCCGTTACACTTCTACATTCATTGAAGATCTTCAATAAGGGTTTAATTCTCCCACCTCCGTTAATCTTCTACATTCATTGAAGATCTTCAAAAAGGGTTTAATTCTCCCACCCCCGTTAAACTTCTACATTCATTGAAGATCTTTAATAAGGGTTTAATTCTCCCACCCCGTTAAACTTCTACATTCATTGAAGATCTTCAATAAGGGTTTAATTCTCCCACCTCCGTTAAACTTCTACATTCATTGAAGATCTTCAATAAGGTGATCTGATGATGATGATGATGATGATGATGATGATGTGTAAGGGACTCGCACAGGTCCCTATGCTGTGCGTGCCGATATACAACATGAAGTTAGCCATGATGCAAAAAAAACTCTCATTTTTACCACGTTTTCAGCACATACGAAGATGGCCGCCGACAAGCGCGGGCAAATCGAGGTGTTTGCCCGTAACTATACCTATTGACCATATAGTACCATCAATGGGATAGTATTTGGTAATGTTGTACCAGAATGTACCAGATATTTATTATACCTATTTATAACCATATCTGTGTTCCATATATTGTTCCATCCCATTGATCGTAAAAGCGGCCAGACCGGGGCGATGCCTGGTGTGGCTCTCCCGGGTGGTGCAGTGCCAGCTTTTTACCCATGGACACTCAGCAGCAGATCCCATGGACTTTCGCTGATGTGCCTGCAGTTTGATGTGGGTAAAACAATAGCCATAAGTAACAATCTTATATAACAGGAAAAATGATGGGTGGTTGATGGGTATATGATACCCTGTTTTTCATGGGTGAATATATATATATATATAGCTGGTTGGTGGTTTGGAACATGAATTTTATGACTTTCCATATATTGGGGGTAGTCATCCCAACTGACTTATATTTTTCAGAGGGGTTGAAACCACCAACTATATAGTAAACCACCCATTTGGGATACCACCTAAAAAATGGTGATGACTGGGGGATGTTTATGATTGTTTTACCCACATTACTTTGCGTATGTTTTTTGCGGGAAAGTAGACATCAAATCATTGATGTACAAATTACATCAAACTACTCTTTTTCGCTCGAAGGTGGACATGAAACCCCGAATGGATCCGAATGGTTTGTTTGGATGCTTCTGGCCTTTCGAATCATGATCGATTGCGAAGCCCCAACGAAACACTGAAGCCACACTGAAAACCAAAAGACCGAGGATTTACCCTTTGGATCCCAGCATGGTTGGAGGTGGCGTTCTGTATTCCCGCCATGTTTCGCCACGATAAAAGTGACGGTGGGTGCAAACAAGAAATGGTGGATGCCCCAATTGATGGTGCTGGAAGTGTTGTCCAATCCCTTCAAATCCCTTGGATTTGGTACTATTTTGGATTGTTCATGCTATTTCTGCTAGAGGAATCCAAAATAATCCAAGTTTGGGATAACTATAACAGATTATCCTCTATAATCATATGTATAATAATCATGGATAACTATGAATAACTATCCAAAACAGCTCTGTTTCAATGGATTCAAGCAACATCCCAAGCGCTCTGTCGACGCCAGACCGGGTGCGTGGGGAGTGGTGAACATGCAGGGTTCAGGCGCGAGGAATTTCCCAGACGTTTCGACCCAGCATTTTCCATGGTTTTTGTTACCCTCTGGTAATTTAACCATGGAAAATGGCCATAGAAATAGTGAGTTTTCCCATGAAAAATGGTGGATCTTTCCATAGTTATGTAACAGTTTACCAGAGGGTAATGATATTTTCGGGATGATGATCCAAAATTGATGCATTTTCCATGATATGTTTGGGATGCTGAGCCCCAACGGACTAGGTTGGACTAGGTTGATGGGTGAAATCAGCACGCAGCATGGTGTTGCAGCTTTGGCTTGAGTCGGCTTGAGAAAACTGACCAATTCATATCATTCAGGCTATGGTCATAGTTAGATATAATTGAGGATAATTGAGGAATACCATTAAGATTTTATATTTTTTGATGCATTTGGATCTATGTTTGGGATGATTTGTGTATTTTGGGTGCTTGAAGCCATATATTTTTCCTTTACGTTTCTTCACTTCGCTGGCCCGATGGCTTCAAAGCCATGGATTGCGCTGAAATCTCTGGTGCTGTGGGCTCTACTGCTGAGGCCGGGGCCGGGTTTTCCAATAAAACATCCACTTGGGAAATCGATTCAGTGAATATATGATCTTGGGAAATGATGGGAATATGTTGTGAATTTTAGTTGCAGATTCCTTCGGAAAATCCAAGTTGAAAAAACGACTCCGTTGAATCACCAAACATAATCCACCGATTCCCTTGGAAGATTGCATCTCCCAGTTGGTGGTTTCCTAAAATATAGCTGCCCGAAACCATACGTTTCTTTTTCCATTGATCATTACCCTCTGGTAAACATACAAAAAGCATCCTCCTGGGAATTTAGCCTAAAGAGTTCAGGACATGATGTCTTTAAGAAACTGTATTTTTTAAGGGACATACCTGGCCGGCAAAAAAAAACAGTTTCTATGTTTTAAGGAAATCCTGTTGTTTAACGGTCTCCTATTCTTTAAGAGGCCTTCCTAAGAAGATTCTAGGAACTTGTTTTTTGGATTTTTTTGGTATGTTCATCAATGTTTTTGGGATTGTGTGTCAAATGAAAACCAGCTTGCCTGCCGCTTGAACAGATGCTCACAAGCAGAAGACGTGAGGTGAGATGGAAGATGAAAACGTGATGAGAGATTGCACGTAAATGATCCCCCTTGGAATTTCCACTTTAAAAATGCAACAACCCGGGTTGTCGCAAAAAACGTTTTTTTAATTGCAAAAACAGATGATTTTTCCACATGGCTAACCCGGAGTCCCCATTTTTTGCAAAGGTTTCCTAGGTCATGATTTTTTAGAGAGAGCACTTTGAGGGGCAATAGACAAGCTCTTTGAATTTTTGCGATTTGCTAAAACTGCTGTTGTGCGCCGGCCATCGTTTGTATCGCAGATGAGCCAAACAAGTTTCAACATTGACAACACATTTCGACTGATTTTTCAACAAGGACATTCTTCAGGGACGCCGGACTATTGCACATTTATGAGCGTTTGAAAACAGAGTGTTTGAAAATCATATGGTGTTATCCCTCTTGGAATTTTCCCTGGCTAAAACATAAGTCAACCCGGGTTTTCAGTTCCCCCTTGATTCTTTAGAGATTTAATTTGGAACCCTAAGTTGAGTTTGTCAATGTTTAAAGTGCTGGCCAAAACATGGCTCAATAAACGCAATCAAACTGAGACTAGATATGATAAAAGCAGCAAATTGCATATATTGATTTATACAAATAAATATGTTTATCGTTTTGCAGGGTATAGCTCTAAAGAATCAGACACCAGCTCGAACCCAGTCCAGTTCTCATATCCAGACGTCCCCGGAAATCCCCAAGATCCCCAGGCATAACACCAATTGTCTCTAGAAGATCCATCGAAACCCACTGTGTCCGGAGGTAGGACCTTATTTTGTAATGGCACCCTCCCAAAAAATACCCCAAACGGTGAAAAATTGCCAGGTTTTGCAGGGTCGACACGCCCTGAGCCCCCAAAGAATCAAAACACCAGCTCAGAAAAAAACAGTGTTTTGGCAGGACCTGATTCTTTAAGGACACCCTTCCCTGTGTCGGAAGGCAGGACGTGATTCTTTAGTGGCACCCTCCCCAAAATATCCCAAGTTGTAGGGTCGACAGGCCTGAGCCTCTAAAGAATCAAAACGCCAGCTCGAACCCAGCCCACGTCTCATATCCAGACGTCCCCAGGAAATCCCCAAGATCCCTAGGCATAACACCAATTGTTTCTAGAAGATCCATCGAAACCCACTGTGTCCGGAGGTAGGACCTTATTTTTTAATGGCACCCTCCCAAAAAATGAACCAAACTGTGAAAAACTGCCAGGTTTTGCAGGGCCGACACGCCCTGAGCCTCTAAAGAATCAAAACAACAGCTCGAAAAAAACAGTGTTTTGGCAGGATCTGATTCTTTAAGGACACCCTTCCCTGTGTCGGAAGGCAGGACGTGATTCTTTAGTGGCACCCCCCTCAAAATATCCCAAGTTGTAGGGTCGACAGGCCTGAGCCTCTAAAGAATCAAAACGCCAGCTCGAACCCAGTCCAGTTCTCATATCCAGACGTCCCCGGAAATCCCCAAGATCCCCAGGCATAACACCAATTGTCTCTAGAAGATCCATCGAAACCCACTGTGTCCGGAGGTAGGACCTTATTTTTTAATGGCACCCTCCCAAAAAATGAACCAAACTGTGAAAAACTGCCAGGTTTTGCAGGGCCGACACGCCCTGAGCCTCTAAAGAATCAAAACAACAGCTCGAAAAAAACAGTGTTTTGGCAGGATCTGATTCTTTAAGGACACCCTTCCCTGTGTCGGGAGGCAGGACCTGATTCTTTTTTGTGGCACCCTCCCCAAAATATCCCAAGTTGTAGGGTCGACAGGCCTGAGCCTCTAAAGAATCAAAACACCAGCTCGAAACCAGCCCACGTCTCATATCCAGACGTCCGCAGGAAATCCCCAAGATCCCCAGGCATAACACCAGTTGTCTTTAGAAGATCCATCAAAACTCATTGTGTCCGGAGGCAGGACTTCATTCTTTATCATTCTTTAATGGCACCCTCCACCAAAGAACCGGACACCCGGGTCAAAGACCGAATACAAAGGGGGATATGTTGTTTACAATCAATTTTGATCAAACCAGAAAAATGAAACAAGAGGAGGCAGCCAAAGACAACGCTTTGGCAGAAGCTTCTGCCATGACAAAAACAGAAGCCGCTAATCTGGCATGGGCAAAAGAAGGGCAAATTTCATCTCCGGTGTGCAAAGGAATCATTTGGGTACGTTTGGTGTTTTTTATGTTTATTGATGTCCACATGGCTAACATGGACGCCCTATTTTTTAGAGGTTTACTTTTGTATTTGTTTTTTTGTGTATTTTTTGTATTTGTTGTAGTTGGTTGCCTGGGCCATGATTTCTTAGATGGTCTTAGACCCCTTGCATCCTAGGTAGGCATTCTTTAGATGTGCCATTTCAGTAGTACAAGGTGGACCTCCGTTTTTTGTTTAAAGAATGCTAGAGTCCATGTGAGCAGGATAATTCCAAGGAGAATTGTAAATGCAAGAATTTGTGTTAAAATCTGTGAAAACACCTTCCAGAGTTGAAGAATGTTAAAGATGTGCTTTCAGAATTCACCTAAAAATGCCTAATGAATTATAATAATCCTAATATGGACACAAATAAATAAGTCTATATGTTCTCATATGATTGCATGCGCATCTTATTGATGATGCTTGACTGCGCCGTCGTCCATTCGACTGCAACTTGGGTATCTAATTCTTTAAAGGGGCACCCCTTTGTGTGCAACCTGGGTCTCCAATCCTTTAAAGGGACATACCTTGGCTACTGTGTGCAATCTTGGTTCATTGGGGTTAGATTCTTTAAGGCTGAAATTTGCCCTGGTTCGCATTCTTTAAGAGGCTACCAGTGGTCCCTTAAAGATTCAGGGGTCAGGGTCGGAGCCCGAATTGCAAGGGGGATCAAAAAGCTATTGAAAATGGCCCAGTCGAAACAGTGGATTTACCATTAAAGATGGTGGATCTTTCCATCGTTTTTTGTATGTTTACCAGAGATTACCAGAGGGTAACTTTGGGCGTTTTCCCCATGTCTTCGGGTAAAACCTGCCACGTTGAATCCCGAGGCCCTCGTTTCTGAGCCCACAGCCTCAACGGCAACGACCCCTGCGGGCGCGACCCGTGCGGGCGCTGGAGGAGCCCCGTGAGGTGGAGCTGCCCTGGTGGATGGGCTGCATGCACTGGATATGGATGGTCTATTTCCATGGGAAAAAAACAATCTAAAATGGATGATTCATGATGATTCAAATGGGGGGCTAGGCATTTTGGGAAACCTCCTACCAGTTGGCGATTCTTGTGAGCCATAGGGAAAGCTATGAACCACAGAATAAGGAGATGGGATATGTATTTTTGAATGGCTCTGGGGCTGAAAGTGACGGATTTGGGCCACCCCAAAATGGTGATTTGACCCTTTGGTAGTCAAATATTTGTGGTAAAGTCATCCAAACATGTTTGTTCTTTCAAAATTGGGACGTTACCATCAAACACATTTATTCAGAATGGGGGATGTTAGCATCAAACCCATTGATTTCAAGCATCGACCGTCAAAGTTTCTGGTTCACAATAGGCATGGAGATTGACCAGCAACGTGATGGGGATAGCCGCAGGAACGCGGCTTGTTGGGGATGTGTCCAATCACCACGGGTCCAACATGTTGAGATCCAACGGAATCATGGAATCACAGAAACCGTTTCGAAACATAGAAGAACCACACTGGTGTTCTGTGACAGGTCCATAATATAGTTACATAGCATATATTAACCATCATCATTAACCATATATAGTTACGTAGTTATTCACATTCCAAATCGTTTCAACCAACATTTGGCATTAGATTCGAAGCTGATCTGCATCAGATGTCGTCGTTGTTCGGCCAAAAAGCTGGCCCATCCCCATCCTAGGAACGCCATCTTAGAGAAATGGCAGGGAGCAG